AAAAATTAAATATTTTACTTGTTATTGTTCGATAACGTTCTTGACCAGCTGTATCCCATATTTGTAATTTAACACGTTTATCATGACGAAATACAGTTTTAACCTTAAAATCAATTCCAACAGTACTAACAAATGCTGATGTGAATGAATCATCTGCATATCGAAACAGCTGGCGAAAAAAAAATGTTTTTAAAATATCGAATTTTTAAATAGAAATAAATAACATACAAATGATGTTTTTCCTACAGATGAATTTCCAATAATAAGTAATTTAAACATATAATCAAAATTTTGATCGGCTGCATCTTTAGCTGATCCACCAGCATTAGTTTGTGTCATCTAAAAGAAGAAAAAAAGTATTTCAAGGACAATCGATATATATATAGATATATATATAAAAGAATTTTGTTAAATAATGATTGTAAACGATGATGACGTCGCTACTTGTGCAGTGAGTGTTTTCCTTCCAGCTTCTTTTTTTCTAGAAGAATTTGATTGGACATAGTTTTGATTTGACGATTTTCAAGATATTAATGCATTTTCCTCAAGCGAATGTTAATTGTTATAGTAAAATAATAGAGGATCGGAAATGTATTCTAATCAAAAGTATAGGAAAAAATAATAATGGCGACTGATAACAAAGATAAATACATATATCTAATTAAATATTAGTTATAAAAGAAAATGTAACTATTATCTTACTCGTTTTAAATAACAATATATATATATATATATATATATGTTCTATGCCTTTTATTCTTGTTAAAAAAGAAATCTATCATCGTAGGCGATTGAAAGGGAGAGAGAGAGAAACAATCAACAAAAAAATAACATGAAGAGGGTAGGAGGTGGAAAGAGTCATTTATTGAGCTGATGTCACAGCTGGTGTCAAGAGATGTTTGTATCGCTGATGATGATGTCTTAGATAACATATTATTGACGTTATTTTTAAGCACAAAAACATATGGCATTCTATTGATTTTATTCTAATAACTAATTTCTCTCAGTCGACAAGCAACTCTATCATTAAAACTGACAAGATAATTAAAAGCACCTTAGATAAAAAGAAAATGTCACATATGTTTAAAGTATCACCTCCTTAATAGAATCATCAATGATATGTGACGAGAATAGTAATAATGATATTTTCCTTTTTTGTTGCTTTTTTTTCAATTTTATTAATCATTCACTCAAAAACTCTATATAATGACAAAAATGAAATGAATTTTTTAAAAAACAAACAAACGAGTCATAATGATTAAAAACACAGCATCAATTCATAATATACACAAAATAATAAGACAAAAAAAACGGAAACGAGGAAAACCTCATAGAGGTTAAAGTGTTTTATAATTCAGTTGTTATTGGATGATAAAATTGTGAATGATTTAATATTAATGGACTATTAGAATGAACTTGAGATGATATTGAAGATGTTGTATTTGTTGTTTGAACTAATGTTGATGATGCATTACGAACATTTGATTGACTTAATGTTCGAGTTACTATAACAGGAGCTATAGAAGTTGATATATCTAAATAAAATATATAAATAATTGATAATATATTTATTTGAATTATACTTTGATTATTGGTATTTAAATTCTTATGATTTGTTATTGTTTCGCTGCAAAATAATGTCTCCTAAATAGAAAATAATTTGTTTTTAATATTTATATATTTATTATTAATATTAAAAATGCAAATCATGCATGTCTTTTTCACTCCATGCCTAGACAATCTTTACTTACGTTGTCCATTCTCATTAAAACTAAAACCAGTAGTAGCAGCGAAATAATCTTTACAAGAAGCTATTTTTCCTATTTTTCTATTTAAGAATTTTTTCGATGATGATGATGATGGTCCATCAATAACAAGATATGATAAATTATCATAATTAGCACAACGTTGTTCAAATTGTTTATCTTTATTTGATGAATTATTACGTTGATGAAAATTAAATTTAGCATATATTGAATTCGATTCATTCATTGGATTAAGACAATAATTTAGAATATTATCATATGATGCACGATTTGTATCATATGATGTTAATTCCGATATAGGTGAAAAGAATAGAGGAAATTTATGATTATTATCTTTACTACTACTACTAGTTTTATTCATTTCAAAATCATCAGAAGATGTTTGCTATTTGAAAAAGAAAATGATGAAAAAAATAGAAATTTTCGTTGTTTAAGACAAGAAATAAAAAAATAAACTATTTACTTTTACTACATAAGGTGTTGATTGACTATTTGCTAAAACATATCGATTCGGAAGACTGTTCATTTTAGCCATACGTGACGAATTTATTTGATTATGTCTGAAAAAAAGATTTAATTTTTATCGAAAAGAATAAGATTAATTTTTTTTTACCCATTTGTTAGGGTTATTGGAGATTTTTGTGGTGATAGTTGAATTAATAATGTTTGTTCGTTATCATCGTCAATATGACGATTTATAGGAATAACTTCATTTGATGATTCTTAAAAAGTTAGATTTAACAAAAAAATAAATACTTGTGAATATAATGACAAACCTTTCGTTGACGAAGAAGATATTGAAATTGTTTGTTTGGGAAGATTTAATGGTGGTGGTGTTGCTTTATCATCAGGTTTGCTTTGTCGAGGAGGAACTGGTGGCGGAGAAAGATTTGTTAAATTTATTTGTGATTCATTTTCTATAAAATAGAAATTGATTAATTATACTTCTAAAAACTCGAGTATTTCTGGAAATAATAACAGACTATTTTGATTAGATATTCAATGTAATTCATGTTTAATTCCTTATGACATGTTAATAATATGGAAAAATAACCTTGCGATATGTTTTTTGTTTACATGATACAATTATATCACATGAAATTTTTGTCTCTGAAAGGAAAGATTTGTAAAATCGCTGTAGTCTTCTGATGCGGTAGTGAGAATCATAAATACTCTCTTTATTTGCAGAAAAAGAACCTCCTTTTAGTACATTCGGCATGTTTCAGTTTTTAAAACGTGAGCTTATTCAATGAAGTGAACTCTTCGAATGATGATTTTCGAGTTCCGACGAATTTAGAGTAAAACGAAGTCATATGAGCATGGTATCATTTCGAGAAAGTGCTGTACGATCTTTAGTCTTTGATATGCTATTTAAGAATCTAAAAAATAGTTCGAGGCCAAATAATCAATAAGTCGTTCGAAGAAAAGCAAGAATTTGTGTACATAGTCTGCAGACACTATACTCGCTACTTGGAAAAAGACCAAGAGAAATCAATCATAGGGCAGCGAAGAAAATTAAAACTTTCTGTTCTAGTTTTTTTCAATGAGATGACTTCTGGCTAAGAAAAATAATGGAAAAAAAGTGTTTTTCTATTGATTTTTTTGTTAAAATAAAGTAGAACCCCCTGGTAGATCCCGAATGATACTTTTTCTTAGCATATTAATCTATGTCGCATTCTATAATATTACAAGTGTTTCTCATAATAACATTCTCATTGGTATTTATATTAATATAAATATCGAGGTTATATTATCTTCATAAAAGTAATGTTATTTACTTTTCTTTTACTTGATATACACAAATATATATAATTAATTACATTTCAGTCGTTATATTAATTGCTAGACAATTGATACAAGGACTTTGATAGGGAAGTACAGTATCATGATGATAATCTTTATTTTTTTATAGCTATGAAACATGCTGTTTTTTCTTCTCATAATAAACAAAACATTTTATTATCTTTACCTTCGATTGATAATTCAGTCGGAGCTCCTTGAATAAGATTATCTAAACGTTGTGCAGCTGATAGATTTACATTCTTCTGTGATGATGATGATATTGCTGATGAACGCTTTGAAATCGAGGTCAAATCATGATTGGATGAATTTATTTGAGATTTAAATCTACTTGAAAAAGAATAAAGTAATGAGTCTTATGTATATAATTAAATAGAAAGAAAAAATACTCTGTTAATTTTGCTTCTTGTTCAGATTTTAATTTTCTTAAACGTTCATCTTCTTGTTCACGTAGAATTTCTTGTTCTTGAATTTTTTTTCTTATTGCATATGATGCACGACGTGAAAAACGTTGTGAAGCTTTACGTTCAAAATTCATATTATGATTTGTTAAATTTCCTAATGCAGCTGTTTGGCATTCGGTTCGACCACTTTATAGGAAAAAAGAAAATAAAAAGAAAATTTATTTACGTTTTTTTATCATACCTAAATCGAAATCGTGAACCAGTACGTGCAAAAGTTGATTTCGTTCCTTGTTTTGCTTTATTTGCTGATGTTGTACGAAAAAATACATGATATTCTAAAGCACATTTCCAAAAATGTTTACATTGTTTTTCATCATAACATCGAAATAAGAACACGAAATCACGTTGTAAACGTGGATCATTATCATCATCTTCCACGACAACAATGGTTAATTTATTATGATTAAAATCTATTTTTGTTACTTTTGACCTAAAAAAAATAGAAAAGTTCGAATATTTCCGTTTGTCTTTACAGAAAAATTAGTTTTACCAAACAAATAGACCAATTTTGATTTTATTTTCAAAAACAAGAATACCAGTTGGAGTTAAACCAAGTTTATATTCTAAACCATCTTTACCCATAACTGTATGTAAATCTACACCATACATTTCTAACCAACGTGCTTTACTTAAATATTGAACTTCACAATCAGCTGGTGTTAAACCTCTATATTAATAAGAAAAACATAATAAAAATCAAATTAAGATCTTATTTTACCTGTATGTCATCCATTTTTCTAACACTTGTTTTTCAAATTCTTCTGTTTGTTTATGATTAGGTTGAAAACGAAATTCAGATATATTTGCAATTGAATGTTCATCTTTTGTATAATCACCTAGTTCAGCTAGAAAGTAAAATAATAATGTATTACTTAACAAATTACAACATAGTTCTGCTGATCGATTTTGTTTTCGAGTCAGATCTACCGGATTATATCAGATTAATACAAAAATTATTCTCCAGTCTTACAACTAAAGCCGGG